CCCCCCGTCAGACAAGACAGAAGTACTTAGGACTTTCACAGTGTTTTAAAGGTGAGGTACATCATGTAGGAACAAAGTACTGCAGAAATACAGAAATGAGGTGAGACTATCAGAAGGGTATTGGTTCCAAATAACATGTCAGATTCCAGATCTGTGTTTAGCTTGGGGGGAGCTCAAAACTGGTAGGCTCAGGCTCTGAACTTTTGCACTCCCGTTTACTGTGTAGCTACACCCCTTCCTGTGCAACCGCCACTACCTCCTCTTGCCCGCTAATGCTGCAGCATCCTATCTGTGGTCCTCTTGCTCAAGGAACGTACTCCTGTTCACCATGAGCGCTTGTCTGTTCCTTTTCTGTTCCAGCAGCTCTCACTGGTTTTCCAAGGGTTGCCAAACTACTGCTGTGAAGGGAGGAGAAGCAGTAAGGCTGGTGCTGTTGCTATTGCGGGGGAGGCGGAGATAGTTGACTTCTGAAGCCTCTGTTAGAGGACAGGGGTAGCAGCTGCAACGGTAGGACCACCTTTTCATGGGATTGTGCAAACAGGAAATAAGTGTGGATGCTCTGACAGTGTTTCTCAAACAGCTTTCCCTATGTTGTCTAAAAAGAGCCACGTGGAAGCTTTCACAGGCTTCAGTCTGGCTGGCTACTGGGGCCACATGCTAGAGCAATTTAGATAACTTATTTTACAGCGTGGAAATAAACACTAGTAAGATAACAAATATAGTTGTGACATTACAGGCCTGCGAAATATTTTGTGTAGCAGGGATCCCGGATAACTCGTCAACAGAAATCTGTTATTTCCAGAGAGACTTTTGCTTAGTTCTTTTTTGCCATAAAGTTGAAAATATGATTCTTTTATACAGCTGCCACTGGAGACATGCCAGCTTACCAGATTCGAACTCCCACTACTACCTTACCTCAGGGAGTGGTAATGGCAGCCTCACCAGGGACTTTGCATAGCCCTCAGCAACTGGCAGAAGAGGCAACACGCAAGAGAGAGCTGAGACTTATGAAAAATAGGTAAGACTATACAACAATTAATAGTCAGTGTTGCAAAAAAACCTCCAAAAACATTCTAATGAAGTTTTCTTCTTAAGGTTATGAGCAGTGCCTGTGATTGACAAAGGGAAGGCAAGAAATTCTTTGTCAGTCATCCCATGTCCTTATAGCATTGAGTATTGGCTGTTAACTCTGGAAAGTTAGAGTTGACTTTATCACCATGGATTTTTAGATCTAAAATATTATGGTAATTCAGAAACCAGTATTAGTGTTGTTCCTTTCTGATAATTTTTGTGATGATCTGGAGGTATACTTATTGTTGAATTCCACGCCCTCACCCCCCGCCGCTACTGGCAGTGAAATGACCAGTATAGGTTTGTTCATTTTGAAACATCCCAGCAAAGAATATGTTAGGAAAATACCTGAGGATCTCATTAGCAGCTGTCCATTAATGATGCTGTGAAGAGGACTTACTCTAGGATGGAATGATAATTATAGACTTTCCTAAATACTTGGCTACTGGGATAACTTATTGTGCAGTGCCCCTGCAGTCATTTTTGTGAGGCATATTGTGCGAGGTGGCTGTATATTTTTTAATTAGTTGGCATGGACTTGACTGTGTGCGGTACATGCCAGCCTTTCTCTGTGCATTCTTCTTGCTATTATTAGGAGACTCTTTTTCTTTTTTTAAATGCGTAGCCACCGCTATCAATGGCAGTTAGATTAATGGAAGAAATAGTCTTCTATGCAGATCTCTAATACATTGAATAGCCACTTGCCTTATGATTGAATTCATGGTATTGCTTTGCTCTCATGCCTGTCCTTTATTTTAAATTACTCAAGAGGATTGCTGCATTGTTGTGCCTCCTTTTGTTTCTCCTCTCTTCAGTTTTAAAACTAGCGTCTGTGCTCTCTCTCATATAACTTGCTGGAAAGTTACGCTCTCACAATTTGACAATTTATCATGTTCCAAGATGTTAAAGGAGTGGAATCCCAGTACTTACAAAATTTCTTCTGGAATAGAATGCTTGTTCAGTCATATGCTCCTGAAAACACGACCCAAAGTGTTTAGCTTCAATATAACAGAATTCGGAGCAGAGCTATGAGAATGGCTCCAGACTGCCATTTGCCAGCAACAAAAAAAACCTGGATGCATGTGGCTGAAATGTGTCCAGATGGACAGTTCTAAAATGCTAATAAATTGTATTTGTTTGGACTTAAGTTTTACTGTAGATTGTTACATTAAGGTAAAAAAATTACAGCAGGTTGTAAGCTTGGCATCTAGCTTTTTATCTGAAGAGAGTAGTGTTATGCTTGTATTTTCTGAAAGTAAAGTCTTTGAGTTTGGTTTTAAGGTTTTGATTGCAGAAGATAATACTCCTGATAAACACACAAAATGGAGTGTGACTGGAAGAAGAAATGCTGCTTTCAGTCTTAATGTTTGGTACAACTCAAGTCAATACGTTATCATTTACTCACTGTTTTTCTCAGCTCCTTTGTGTATTAATTCCTCCTTTGTATTTGTTGATGCTGAATTTGTTTCAAGTTCTAGTTGTTTTGAATTGTATTTTAATCATGTTATTGCTTATTGTTGTTATCTGCTGTTCTGTTTGTGCAATCCAACAGTTGGTGGTGGTTGTTGTTGTTGTTACTGTGGAACTGCAGGGATTGCAGGTAATTTCATTTATCCAGTCTTTGCCATATTGTGGCTGTTCCTGTAGTCATTTGCCTTGTATTGGTTCCAGGGAAGCTGCCAGAGAATGTCGCAGAAAGAAGAAAGAATATGTCAAATGTCTTGAAAATCGTGTGGCTGTGCTTGAAAACCAAAACAAGACTCTCATTGAGGAACTCAAGGCCCTCAAAGATCTTTATTGTCATAAAGCAGAATAACTGTCTTTCATTTGGACCTCGTTTATTATGAACTTTAATCAAGGCATGAGAGGAAGCAATTCTACAGATTGCCATATGAACTTGAGAAAGAGACACTTGAGGCCCTTGTGGAACCCAGTTTTCTTAGTGTTTCAGACTGATTTGGGAGATATTCCAAAACTTGGAATTTTATCATAGTCTCCATACTCTGCTGAGCTTTCTAATGGCATGCAAATGGCTTTTTTGTTTGCACTTTTTACTTCTGCTTTTTGCAGGGAAGCTGCTAAAGAATGTCGACGTCGGAAGAAAGAATACATAAAATGTCTGGAGAGTCGTGTTGCAGTGCTAGAAGTTCAGAACAAGAAACTTATAGAGGAGCTTGAAACCCTAAAAGACATTTGCTCTTCCAAAACAGATTAGTAAAAATATTTATTATACTGTGAACTGACTAAAATATGTCCAGTTGCTTTATAAGGCAATACATAGCCAACATGAATTATGGCTTTCTCTTTGTGTCATTTATATTATATTCCAACTCCTAACATTCCTGAAATGCTTTCCTGCTTTTTGTCAATTCATAGCTCTAATTTCAGGTTTTTCATGCTCCTCCCTTCCATCTCCCAAGGAGCCAAATGTTAAAAAAATGTAACAAAGTAAAAAAGCGCTTAATTTCTAAGAGCTGTTTCTTTGCCATATATTTACATACTACTTTTTACATGTTACTGAGTGTCCTGCACATACAAAATATTTTACAGTTGTTTTAGATGAATCATAAAGATAATGCATCCAGTAATACAAAAAAATCAAACAACCCAAGGTATCTCAGGAAAGAGTTTATAAAAGAATGTTATGATTACATGTATGTACTAGTATACTAGTCTACAGATGATTTTATGGCATATTTTTATATTAGTTGCTTTGTGGAAAGAAGTATTGTATTGCTGTCACTGAGTGCCATGGTTAAAGATAGTTTTTAATAGAACCATGTTGTTTAACCTGTGTAGTGTCTGATTTCCTTTAAACGTCTGGTTATTTGAGATGCTTTAAAACCCATGAGTATCTGGAAGAGGACAAAGGAAAAAAGCATACCTAAACTCGTGACATGATGCTAAGTATATTGTGAATACCTGAAAGAAGCTGGCTGTTACATGGCTGCTATTAATTTAAATTTTCTGTAGTCTGTAGAATATTTGATTTATTAGAGGTCTATATATCAAAATTCAATTTTGCATCCTAAATACTTTGTGTTCTAGATTCTGGACTGTTGTAGACAGATGCCTATAGCGAAGGCTGTTGCTGTAGTTCTTTTCACACTTTCTGCTAAGTACTGAGAGGAAGTAAAGGTGACTTAAAGAAGGAAGCTTTCCAATAAACAGTAACTATCTGATGATTTGCAGGGTTCTGGAATAGCCTATAGGTGAGAGCTGAAGATTTTAAAAATAAACCCATGCCTAAACCAGATTACAGTTCTTATAAATGCAGTACATGCCAACTTTCCATTGCTTTGAAAGAAAATAGTGCTTATGCAAAATTGCTTCTGGGTATTTCTTTAATTCAGGAATGATCTAATTGTTTGTTGGCCAGTATAGTCTATGAGCAGAGTATTCGGGAGCTTTGCTGAACTGGCAGCACCATTGCCTTACTGATGCGGTAGGAAGAAAGGCTTAGTTCCTACTTAATTGGCTTTACTGCGGGGAGTGTGTGTGTGTGGAGGGGGGGGAAGGGATGGAATCATAGCATTGCTAAAGTCACTGAGACTTCTTCATTTAATTTAAACTGCATTCACATGTAACCCAGTCTTCACTCTGATGCTGTTGGGGCAGGGTGTGTATGTGCATCCTTTTTTTTTTTTTTTTTTTTTTAAATCTGGTTTTCTTTCAGCTTTCCCAAATTACTTGAAATACACAGGATAACTTTCTCCAATTTTTGAAAATCCCACTGGGTACCTAAGTGAGACCATTTTAAGATGAGGTATTCTCTCTCACTTCCCACATCAGTTGATTTAAAAAGGAAACAGGCTGCCATTTGGGCCCACAGGCTCTGCTGCAGATCTGGGACAAAAATAAACTAAACTTTGAAATATCTGTTTCACTGTGAAAATATATCTTAAGTGCTAAAGTCAGCAGAAGTCAAAGGTTCTGTTAAAATTGTACAGGACGAGTACAGTCTGCAGGTCCATGTTGCAGCCTCTAGACTGCGACAAAAGTGTCCAGAAAATTGTTTGTTGTGGTTCTGTCACTAGAATCTGTTTTCTGTTACAGGTAGGCATTACTCCTCACTCTCAAGGGATTTGGCAACTTAAGTGGAAAGAAACTTGAGCGCATGGTGGATGTCTCTCCAGTAAAAACTTATCTTTATCTTCCCAATAGTATCTAGTACTAACTGTAGTTAGAAATTTGATAGGAGGAATCCTTGTCTGTTCCACATATATGTAGTCTACAGTCATTTCTTTGCTAATACTTTTAAAACATTTGATTAATGTTTGGTTTTTATTTAAATAATTACTTGGGGGGGATGCATTGTTAATAATGGGAGCTAAACCCAAATGCTCTTGTCATGTGTTTTGTCATTCTGGAAAACTCCATTTGATCTGTTTATCTGCACCAGGGAAAAGTATCCTGCTTCAGAAAAGTCAACTGCACAAAACCTGGCTCATTTAGACTAAGACTAGGAAAAAAGAAAAGTTTATGATGTATTATTCTTTCATTCTCAGTAATTCAGTTTGGTATAGCATTAATTTTGACAGAATTAGCAACACACATTTCTGTATTTTAAAGTCAGAATGAGTGAGTTTGTTGGTGAATAAGAACATTTAAGATGTACGGTTGGTAAATTAGAACCAAGATTCATCTTGTGGTGAAGGAAATAACTTACTTGAAAATGAGCAAAGGCAGGTCTGCACAAATGCCAAGAATCTGTTGTCAAATTGCTATTGCAAAAATTACTACTTAAAACAATAAATCCAGTTCTGAATTGGTTTGAGAGACGTACTTTGAAAACTTTGTGAGAGAGTTCCTTGAGATTAAATGAAGATTTGAAGGAAAAGTCAGTGTACCACTGGGGTTTGTCAGAGAAATAACACCAAAATACTTAACTGAGATGGGACTGCTGGAGCCTGGGTCTCTATTCAAGGAGTATATCAAAGGATTAAAGCGATGATAGGGTATATGCTGGGATATACAAATTGGTTTATATTATAAAGGAAAATAAATCATATTAAGTCTTCTTTCAGTTTATTTTTTTTCTCTTTAAAATGTCAATATAGCCCTCTTAAGTTTTAGATCAGTTGTGGGACTCATTTTGTTCTACGTCGGTGTCATGTTTCTGAATGTATGTTAGCACTGGCATCCAGAGTAGATGCACATGTGCTATGAATGAGAAGAGAATATTTCTTTTGACGTGCTGTCCATCAAGCTTGCATTTGTGCATGTAAGTCCTGTGCTTGCTAGTGCTCCTCTCCAAGGGCAGAAAAAGTGAAAATGGCTGGAACTGTTCATCGCTACGTCTTACTCTTCATGGAAGGAAACTGAAATTTGGCTGGGGTCTGAATTTGTAACAGCCAAAGTTCTTGGGAGGTGACACTAACACATTTTAGGAGCTGTGCTGCCTAACAGTCCGGGCGAAACTGCCTATGCTTGTGTAATGGCACCCACATTCTGGATATCAGGCCAAGAAAAGGTCAGTTTATAATGATTGTGTTGAACTTCTTAGGGTAAATCTTAGGGTTTTTATTGAAATCAGTTACTGATCCTTTTCCTGAGGATACATTTTGATGGGAGAGAGGAAACTGCTTTCTGCATTTTGTTTGTCTCTTCACTTTGTGACCATTTTTGGTTCATCCAAAGGCCAATCAATCTGTTGGCAGAGAATTACCAAGTGGATCAGACGCTGAGCTCAAAGTATTTCCTTCAGTGACAATGGCTGGAAAAGCTGTCCCTTTGAGTTTCTTCACGTCTCATTCTTTGTGTAAATGACAGATCCAGCCCTTTTCCTAAAAGTATTGGTCATATAAAACTGTACAGTGCAAGCATGCAAATTAACTGTTGATTTTTGTGAAAGGTCTGTGATGTGGCTGTCAATCACATACCTAAGGAAACACGGTATCAGTGGCTGTTGTGGTTCATGTGAGTACCGGGACTTGCCCTCTGTCCCCATTTTACTCAGTTGAACCAGGCTTTGAGTTCAGTACTCTTTCCAAAGAACTACTTGACCACAAGATCAAAAACTACCTTCTGTCTTGTAGCATGCGTGTGTTGTTAGTTTTAACGCCTTTTCGCACAATTTGATGCTGTTTCTACTCTCAGAGGTTGCTAAGAATGTACAAATAGCAACTGAAGAGGTGTTCAGTCTTAATTATCTTACTTGATGGTTGTGTCACCATCTCATTTGACAAGGCTGGGAAGCACCTACTTCTCTAATAAAAACAGCTCTGAGCTGTGGATACCGATACAATTTCCACAGGAGTCTGATTCCAATTCAGATTTGTGAAGCAGAGTGCTTGGTGTGGCACAGGAGAAAGGCCTTTTGAACACAGTATTAGTACAGAAACATTAAATGAATCTGAGTTTGTTTATTACAAGAGAACTTGAGCACTGCCGAAGCTTTGATTTATCAGAGCCAGGAATTTTGTTTTTTCAGTAGCAGAAAAAAAGGCTGAAATAATTGGGATTTTCTTTCTGTAAGAAAACCGCATCCCTATCATACGAAACTCTTCTCCCTTGCTGAAACCATGCAACTGTTTGCAAATTTCTTTGAGACAGATAGCTAGAGGATCTGCCTTTACTTTACGGGAAGGTGTACACAAGACTGCATGGACAGTTTTTTTCAAATAGAATTTCATGTAGCTCAGGGGAAATGGTCTCTTGAAAAATGTCTTCAACCTCCTAGAGTTGTGGGCGATGAGGAATGTAATAGTCAGCTTCCTGTTAAGGTACAGCTTTGAGTCATAGCTGTTTTCTTCCCCATCTAAATGGAATGGGGAGCAGAGTTATAAAGAGAAATCTCTAGGCTATCCAGGCAGAGCTGTCTCTTGATTGTCTAAAACAGCCTCAGCTGTTGTGACTTGGGAAAAAAGGGATTAAAATAAGTATATTGTGGGAGTTTCATTTCTTTGGGAGGTTTTTTGGGTTTGGCGGTTTTTTTTGATTGTTAGTTCCCATGGATTTTTCTGTTTGCAAGAATAATTGTAGATTTTTCTGCCTGCATTGATACAGTCCTAAGGAGTGCAAGCTGAATTGTCTCCCACTTGGTTCTCCATTCTTATGAAACATAATTGCTGATCTGTACTGTTACCCTGCAGACATCAGTGTAATAGCTAAATCCAGTGTGATCTTTTTCTGAATGAAGTATCACTTCAAAGAAAACAAAGGAGTCTGCTCAGCTTCTGGTTTGGATTGACTCATTTTGCCCACAGTTTTTCTCCGTTGGTGTTTTGTGCGTGGGTGTGTGCATGACAAGAATGTATTGAATGCTGAGCTGTTAAGCAGCTGATAGAAGTAGCTGCATTTTGGTTGTCAGCATTGCTGTATAAAATATTGTCTTGTGGGGAGTGAGTTTAATTTGGTTGGGGATTTCTTTTTTTGTTAAGGCACTATGAGGCTCTTCTGGATGAGTGATAACATTGATTTCATTATTCCAGCAAAAGTTGTGTTAGTTCTAGTATTTGCTTAATTTAAAAACTGAAGAAAATGAGTTAGTTAATTTTTAGGGCAATTTGATAGTATCTCATGCAGGCTGGCAATGGCAGGTAGCAAAAATCAGTTTATTCTTCTGCCTCTAATGAATCTTTTCTAGGCCATTTTCTCAGGTTTATGTTTTTTCCTACTTCTGAGATGGAGCTTCCTTCTTGCAACTTGCTTTTTAGATATAGTTATGAAGCAGAAGCTGTGTATATGCACAAAGTCTCAAAGAAAAAGACAGTAATGTGAGAGCTGAATACTGTGTGTGACTAAGGAAAAAAATAACTTCATTGTATTATGTGTGACTTTAATGG